TATTTCTGTCTCCTTCAAAAATGTGATATTGCAAAAAATAATTGTACATATCAGAAATCTGGAAAACACGTCTCCATTTAGATGGACGTACTTAAGCTACATTTCTTGTATACGGTAATAAAGTATAAACACAATAAAATGTTCACTCAACAACAGATCATTACTGCTGGAAAACGTGCTGTACTCTCAGAATAGAGTTATAGCTTAAATACTGTCACTATAAAAAAAATAACAAGAAAAGTAAGTTTTTTTTCTAACAAAGCCTTGGCCTAGATTCGAATATTACAGCAGTTTGGAACTTTGGCAGCTTCAGGAGAGATTTGAAGATTGGAGGTTATGAGCCTTGTTAAGCTAGGACAGTATGACAAGATATTTAAAATAATGTTGGTCTTTATGTGCTATCTCAGGTGTTCAGTCTGGCTGCTATAGGCTTAGGTGTTCAAGGTGGATGTGTTGTTAGGTAATTGATAGGGCATTGCTAGGTGGTTGTCAGGGTGCTTTGGTTGGTTGCTATGGTGCTGTTATAGATATAATAATAGATCTAAGAAGAATCTAGACCAGTGCTAGGGTGTTCTGAGTGGTTGCTAGGGTGTTGTTAGGTGTGAGATGGATAGTTTGAATACTTGGGATGGGGACTGACATTGAAAACAGAATTTTGTTTCATTTATTTCATATTATTAAGAAATGATGCAGAGCTGAGCTGAATGCAAGACACTAAAATATTCCTCTTTACAGTGCACGAGAAATTATGGATCATAAATGAAACAGCTGAGGAAAGATTTCGTTGTAATACATTGCATCATCCTCGGAAGTACTTTTGCAGCTCTCACAGAAAATAAAGTCCTATCCAGACGGTGAGGAAAACAAAAGGGATGCCCTTTCCCTTTATGAATAGATAGACAGATAGCGGTGAAGAGTTACAAAGCTTTCAATGCCCAATCCATGCACAAATATCCAAACCTCCCAATCTGTTAAGCAAAGATTCATAGATAGATAGACAGAAAGAGACGGACAGACAGGGAGACAGACAGATAGATAGATATATAGATAGACAGACAGACAAATACTACTGTACGGTATATAGATACAGACAGTCAGACTGATTGACATGCAGACACAGATAGATAGAGAGATATAGATATACATTCACCGGCCACTTTATTAGGTACACCTGTCCAACTGCTCGTTAACACTTAATTTCTAAGCAGCCAATCACATGACGGCAACTCAGTGCATTTAGGCATGTAGACATGGTCAAGACAATCTCCTGCAGTTCAAACCGAGCATCAGTATGGGGAAGAAAGTTGATTTGAGTGACTTTGAACGTGGCATGATTGTTGGTGCCAGAAGGGCTGGTCTGAGTATTTCAGAAACTGCTAATCTACTGGGATTTTCACGCACAACCATCTCTAAGGTTTACAGAGAATGGTCCGAAAAAGAAAAAACATCCAGTGAGCGGCAGTTCTGTGGGCGGAAATGCCTTGTTGATGCCAGAGGTCAGAGGAGAATGGCCAGACTGGTTCGAGCTGATAGAAGGGCAACAGTGACTGAAATAACCACTCGTTACAACCGAGGTATGCAGCAAAGCATTTGTGAAGCCACAACACGCACAACCTTGAGGCGGATGGGCTACAACAGCAGAAGACTCCACCGGGTACCACTCATCTCCACTACAAATAGGAAAAAGAGGCTACAATTTGCAAGAGCTCACCAAAATTGAACAGTTGAAGACTGGAAAAATGTTGCCTGGTCTGATGAGTCTCGATTTCTGTTGAGACATTCAGATGTTAGAGTCAGAATTTGGCGTAAACAGAATGAGAACATGGAACCATCATGCCTTGTTACCACTGTGCAGGCTGGTGGTGGTGGTGTAATGGTGTGGGGGATGTTTTCCTGGCACACTTTAGGCCCCTTAGTGCCAATTGGGCATCGTTTAAATGCCACGGCCTACCTGAGCATTGTTTCTGACCATGTCCATCCCTTTATGGCCACCATGTACCCATCCTCTGATGGCTACTTCCACCATGTCACAAAGCTCTAATCATTTCAAATTGGTTTCTTGAACATGACAATGAGTTCACTGTACTAAAATGGCCTCCACAGTCACCAGATCTCAACCCAATAGAGCATCTTTGGGATGTGGTGGAACGGGAGATTCGCATCATGGATGTGCAGCCGACAAATCTGCGGCAACTGTGTGATGCCATCATGTCAATATGGACCAAACTCCCTGAGGAATGCTTCCAGCACCTTGTTGAATCTATGCCACGAAGAATTGAGGCAGTTCTGAAGGCAAAAGGGGGTCCAACCCGTTACTAGCATGGGGTACCTAATAAAGTGGCCGGTGAGTGTATATGGATGGATGGATAGTTGGGCCAAAGTGATCATACTTAGACTCATCTAAATTTAGAGCGAGAACACACTGAATCTTTAAAGATCTTTCACTGTCAGTGGCCATTCAAGGACATTGAACTCACTGCATGATTACTAAGTAGTTGACTAGAAAATTGTCATGTTCAAATTGTGTCCAGATGCCCTTGCATTATGGTGAACCAGATGAAATGGCTCTGCTTTGAGAATCTGCTGGGATGTACTTGAATAACAAAAATGAATAGTAGGGGCTTTTCCTCATGCACTGATACTCTCTGCAATATTGAGAATTTAACCTGTTGTGTTAAAAGACAAATTTGTAAGTTTCCACAATCTGTCACAAATGTATCTGACAGTTTGTGTTTACATTTTAGTATTGCTTCAAAATTAATGTCTTTATATTCAGCAGGGTATGTATAATTGTGCAATACATTGCACAACAATATTAGATCATTTTGAACAGGCAGTCTATCACACTCATGTCCAGATTAATTTTTCATTCCTAAAATCAACTGGCAATTACATTCAGTTGATTCGGCTCCTTAGACACTCTCCATTTGACGTGTAATGAACCTCTGTGGGGCCATCAGAGCCTCAGATGTGGTTGATAGTGGAAGGACATCTCTTGGTTTGACTAAAATCACAGCTGCACAACGTGGGCCAGGAAATTCTCTATTAGCTTTTTAAAGCTTTCTGTGGGCCTGTGGAAAACGCACTATAATCTAATCTGCCCGTGTGGTTTTGTAAATGTAATTAAAGCAGCCACTGCATGAGGTCGGCGATCTAGATTCTGGAGGTCCAAAGCTCATCTGCTCGGCTAACCACAGGCCCAGTTGCTACAGACAGCAAAACAGCAAACAAATGAAGTAGTAATTATGACTGGCATGACCTTTAATTTACAGATTAATGAAAATCTATTAAAAGAGGGTATTTTGAAACCAATGTAAAAGCCTCTACGCATAAATATATGGCTGGCAAAAAAACACAAGCACTCTGAGCTGCCAGTTTGACAGAAAGGCAACGCTCACATCCTTGCGCTCAGGAGCAGAATTAGATATCATTCATACACTCTATCAGCCCTTTGCAGTAGTGCTGAGCCAAACACTCCCCTGACAGCCAAGTCACATGTGTTTTGTGGACCGAGGACAATTCTTCTTTTGTCCTCGTGCATGGACCTCCTTGCTCTGGCTCTTGTTTAAGAAAGCACTATTTTGTGTCTTCTTTCTTGTTTAGCCTAGAAACATTCTTCTTTAGAGATATTTGGTGATTAAAAATGCAAGTTTGCTTTGTCCTTTAGCTGCGGACTTTGATTAGGTGGGACAATTTGTTGTTTGTTTTTCAAATGAAGAGCCCTCCCAACTCACTCCAACTCACTCAACACAGATCGTGATGAAAGGAGAGAATAATCAAAGAGTGGTGGAGGTGGTAAAGATTGACAGGAGAGGCTAGTTTTTTTTTTACCTCTTGCTGATAAAGTTTTCTCAAACAGATTCATTAGGAATTTACAGCCACCTGTCAAGAAGATACAAATTGCTAGAGGAATGTTTTGAAAGGAGGGACTCTTATATTGACATGAACACAAACTCATGAATCTCGGGTCAAAGCAATGATCTATCAATGGCATTTCATTTGACTGTTTTGACGGTCTGACACCATATGCTGTGCAAGGCTTATCATTTTAACATTTGTGTTGGCAATAACCTGGCAGCTTATAGTTGCACTATATCTAATGCACTGGTTAAAAAGCTGGATTGGTTACCAAAAGGTTGCAGGTTTGAGACTCATAAAGTCAATGAACCATCACTGCAGTCTAACCCCAGGTTGTTCCAAAGGAATTGTCCCTGTAATAAGTGTACGGTAAGTCATTTTGGATAAACGGATGTCTGCTAAAATGACTACTTACTTTGTTTCCAAGGCATTCATTAAAAGGAGGGATGGGAAATCAGACATAACCGTTATCAGTGTTTTCCTACTTTGTTCTTTGGCTCCAAAAGAAACCTTTAGTTCCAAATAAACAGACAATTTGTTGATTTGACTGATCTCTTAAAGTGATAGTTCACCCAAAAATTATGCCATCATTTACTCTCAAGTTTTTCCAAACATGAAAAAAGATAGTTTGTTGTATATGGGTAACCAAACAGTTGATGGGCTCCATTGACTCCATTGATTATGGAAGTCAATGAGGCCCATCAACTGTCTGGTTACCAACATTATTCAAAGTATCTTCTTTTGTGTTCAGCAGAAGAAAGAAAATCATATAGGTTTGGAACAACTTGGTTGAGTAAATTATGACAATTTCCATTTTTGGTGAACTATCCCTTTAAAAAAAAAGAGAAAGATTAGATCCACATTAATTTTAAAAGCTAGGCTATATAGCCTACTTTAACTGTCATCAATTGATATTATAGTTTATATTATTTTAGATATTTACAAGTTTAGAGCTATAACAGAGCAACATCTGAGAAATAGATTGTGTGGTGGTTATCATGTCCACTTTACGCGTTGATTCAGTGAGTTCACCTAAAAATATCGTATGGCTATCCAGAGCCGGATCAAAGCCGGGGTCATCTCCTTCGTGAATCCCGCCCTACCGTTTAGCCTAAATAAACCGAAAGGAGGGGCTTGTCCGCGACAGAGAAGCGAAGGGTCCCGTGGTGAGCGCCGCAGAGCCGTGTAGTGTGTGTGTGTTTGTGTGTGTGTGTCAGGTTTCATTCTGAGAGAGACTCAGGCGCGCAGCAGTCAGAGAAACCCGTCAAATGGCACGAGCGAAGCACTCGGACTCCCACTAGAGCCGGACCTCACTGAACCAATATCTCCATGCACTTCAATGAGCAGCATGCCTCTGTTGAGGTCGTTTTGAAGATTGATATTTTCACGTGAAAAACGGTTCAATTACCTGGAAGGAAAACTTTAATCAGTTTATTTGAATACGAACCTGCTCAGCCTGATAAAGTGGTGGTGGATAAATATTAAATTGACTGTATAAGCTACGTCTCACAGACATGGAGGACATGAAATTGCGTGTATCACCTCAGTCCAGTCAGGAGAGGACCTGCGTTCAGCATCCCAGCCAAAAGCGCATTTTGACGAACTGGAAGGACGTGTGTGCTATCTGCGTGTGTTTGATCTCGTTTGGAGTTTGTGTGTTGCTTTACCTGAGGACGTCGGATCTGCAGTCCAGGGTGCTCAGTTTGGAAAAGGACCGAGATCCCCGTATCTTCAGTTGGATCTCTCTGGAACAGGTGGAGCCCGTCCTGTGGAGTCGACTGGATCAAATATTAGAGGAGGTGAGCGTGACTTGTATTCTTCAGATAACCTATTATTCTGCGGTTTTAATAATATCTAGTCATATTTTATACAAGTTACCTTGTGAAAGATGAGATACGCATGTTGTCCCACCTTGTGTTGTGTCTTAGCCTATACGAGAGGTAGAAGTGCGTTACTCAAAAAGTTTAAGTAGAGAGACTTTGTGGTTGAAGATGAGGAACATTATGTCTGGAATTACGTTGAGGTGTGTTAAAATATGAATGTAAAGAAAAAATCAGTGTCTTCGCCCCCGTCTTAGTTTGTTTATTGGTCCTCGTTGTTTACGCACTTTCACTGAGCACTTTCGAGCTCTGGGAAGTTGAACAAAACCGCATGCACATGGATCAAAATAATTATTTTTCTGTGCCGTTTTATTGGGCTTTTGTTTATTTTTGACGAACAAATAGTAAATAAAAAATTGTAAATACAAAAAATAATTAGGCCTACTAATTTCTAAAACAAACTCTTTACTGACTTTAAAAACAAACAAACTACTAGATTATATTAATTAGCTCATTAGTTGATATTAATATTTCAACCAATAAATGTCATTCAATGTCTCACATCATGAGTAGGAAATGATTAAATCCTGATTATTAAATTACATTTGTTAGGTGGTGCTTTCCAGATGCCAGATCAGACTCTTTTACATGGCTCACATTTTTTCACATCCTATTTAGCATTGCTCCATAACAAGTGTCTATAAATAACACAATAATACAGCCAAAATTTCCCTCTGCCATTTTGACACATCCATTAGTATAGCTGTCTTAATAAAAGAACACTGATGTGATCTGGTAGCTGCACCTGTATTTTTCACATTTGAGCCAATCTGTTCAATGATAAGCAAATCATTGATATGGCCACCTGTTTTACGTCAACAATCAAGCAGTTAGTGCTCTCACCAGATTCAGCACTGGCTGAGCGCACGTCGTCTGTAAGGATTGAGCTTGAAGTGTTGAGGTGGAGGAAAGTGAGATATATAGCCTATATATATGTATATTCAGTGTATTGCCTGCGGCCGTGGTCCCTTCACATTGGCCTCTGGTGGATCATCACCTAGCTGCATGTAAAATATTTGCAGTGTTAAAAGAATCTTGGGTAGAATTTTGCTCGGGGAAAGGCTACCATCTCACTATCTGCGGTTCATAAAATAATAGAGGATGATGCAGGTGAATATTTAGTGTGTTAATGAGACTATGCAGACTGGTGTAGTAGAGACAGCCAAGTGTGAGTCAATCTGAGGTTCAGTTTGAGTACAGTTGAGTCATTTACAGGTGAATCTCACTGAAATCTTTTAAGAACATGTCAAAGAAAGAATTAGTTTTGCTTTTTCTTTTGCATTATGACATGACAATTAAGCATATTTTGCCACCCTTTTTTAATCTGCGTAATGCAAAAAAAAAAAAATGATAAAGAATGACAGTATTATTGTAATAAGAATCTAATGAGAATTAACCTTCAGAATAATTTCAGTTACAAAAAGTAACATTCCCAGATGCATTACAGTACTGAGAGTTTTGCTGGATAATGTGCTTAATTGTAATGAAAAATAGGCTTATGAATAGGCTATAATATTAATCATTTAGTTTTGTTTAATACTGATGGGCCTTTGAAAGCATCCAAAGTTCGTTGATCTCAAGGGTGTTCTTTTATCAAGGGCATATGTTTCTCATAGAGATATTGACTACTGACATTTCAGCATCACCATAAAATTGCATATATAAGTCTACATTAAAGGTGAGAAACATATACATTTGAAGTGCCTGTTGAAGTTTAGAAAGGTGCTGATTTCACAATTTAGAACAGAATGTGCCAGAATGTCCTTCAGGGGTTTAATCAAGATCTGGTCAGCGGGAAAGTAGCAAAACAAGAGAGAAAGAGAATGAAAGAAATAGAAAGAGAGATAGAGTTAGGCCTCTGGGCACAAAGTCTGGGGGTCTTAGTAGTAATCAGACATTGGAATTGTAAAACGTTTTGTCATCCTTTCAAAATAGATTGTTAAAACCAGATCAAATACTGGGCATCGAGTTACCATTAAAGCTGGGAGGCAGAGAATGTCCCCTCCCTCCTAACTCATCCCTGCAAACACTGGGGCATCAGCTGTCTCGTGTCATTACTGCAACCTTACCATTTACATCACGTCATCTTAAAGTCCCCATGAAATCAAAAGTTTTAGGCTATATTAGCCTTACTGTTATCTATAAGCTAGTGTGCTCCAAAACAATGACAACATTTGCATTAAGAAAATATAAGCATTCAAAACTGAGTATCTCACTTCCGCAATGATTTTGATGATATCACACTGCCCTTCAGATTTTCTGTCCAATCAAATGCTCTCTTGAATCTAAAGCGTCCCGCCCCCTATTTATAAATAGAAGCTGCAGCTAAAATCGGTCACTTGTTCACACATTTACTATTCTACATGGTGAATGGCACATAGTTCACTATATAGGGCATAGGAAATGATTGAGAGAGTGTAAATATGCTTTCCATTGAGGCGAATGAAGTCCTGTTTCACGTTATCACGCGAACCGCCACAGCACGCATACAGTCTGCTCCAGTCCAGAGACACGAAAGCACAGAGTGGATCATATGAGAGTCGGTGCAGACCACAAAAGCGTATCGGACCCGTTTGAATTCTGCACAGAATGCTGTATTATAAGGCGATAATGGAGGCGATTAGGAGGAAACTGTGGCTTTACCGTGCTCAGCGGCTCTGGCCGAGATGTGATATAAACGAAACGCTATTGACTATTTAAAAAAAGGGGAGGAGCTGTTCAATATGTCCCGCCCTGTCTTCCTGTTTCAGTGGAAATTACACAACCCATTGAGTAATGCTGCGCGTTTCAAGGCACTTCAGTGAGCCTTTAAACTTAAAGTCAGCAAAAAAACTTCGCAAACCATTTTACTTCCATAATTTGATGCATTTTCAAGTCAAACGGTATTTAATTGCGAAAAAATGTAGGACAGAACACAATTTTTACAATTGGTAATTGACTGGATTGTGAAAAGTGGGTGTCGGATTCCAAAAAGTTATTGAAAACATTAGGCTATTCGTGACATCAAAGTGGTTTCAGAGGTGAGCAAGTTGTTACTTTTTGATGAAAGATTACAACCCCCCCCCCCCAAAAAAAAAAACCTTTGAAATAACATGCACAGAGGAATCATGTGCACAGTAAGTCCAGAGAGATGGGTATTAAGAAAGTAAATGGGGTCATTGTTGATTTCATGTTGACTTAAAGAACACCTATTTGAGCATAAAGGAACACACCCTAGCAGAATTAAATGCATCAGAAACTTCATGCGCTTCAAAGTGAAAGCGAAGTCTCTTTCTTTTGATCTTGTTCACTTTGCTTCCACTCAATGCAACTCTTCATGCTAACTTTTCATCACTGGTTATTGTTTTCTCAATGTCACGCTGCATTGCTGTTTATGAGAGCACTTAGCCATAAGTGAAACCGGGTCTTGCAAGCACTTTCCAATGGTTTGATGTAAAAACATTATATAATATTTTGAAAAGAAACCTTTTATTTGGACAACCTGAGAATGTGGCACTGGAAAATCACGAGTTAAAGCTCTGGGAAACTGTTGCGTGTGCATTATCCCTGGACATTGCTCCTGTGGAAAAGCTGTTTACGCACAGCACATGGTTCCTTCCAAATTGTAGTCCATTTTCCACGGCTTTCGTGCTTGCAGAACAAACGTCTGTTGGTTAACCTTGCTGTCACATGTACTGTATATTTTCATCTTAACATTCTTCAGGTTTTCCTTTTCTTCTTAACCTCCATTAGTTTATTTTCTGTTTTACAATATCTGTGGTGCTGCTGAGTTCAGTAGTGTGGAAAAACTGCTAAGAAAGCTTGTAGTGTCTGAGAGCGGTCTGAGTAAAGACTTCTCCAGCTGGGAAGACGCTTTGCCAGTATCAACCAAATAAAGCCCTGGAACGATCGTGGATAATATAAACTGGGGCAAGAAAAATGTCCAATAGCGGCCCCAGAATTATTTAGCTTGAGTGTTTCGATGTTAGATGGGGATGGCGTGACCTATAGTACCACATTGTAGACGTTTGACAAGCTTTACAATTCGGTCATAAATGTAGCCGGTCAGTGATTGTTCTACCATGCATAAAGTGGGTTTGTCTATTTTAGCTGGGGTTTTGTAAGTTTAGGATAAAAATGGAATAGTAGCTCTGTTTAATGTTACTCACTGTTCTCTAAATCCTGTTGATCTAAAGTTAATCGTTCACTTTGATACATTTACTACAATACACTGGGGTGTCCGTCTAAAATGTATGAATTGATTGGTTCCAAACGGTGACCTATGGACACATACATTCTTAATCAAATAACTAATAACTGCAGCACCTGTCAATGTGACGCTTCTAATAGAGCGAACGGCTCCAGAAGCTATGCAGAGAATATAGACATTGTGCCTCTGATGATGGTTAAAAGTGCCACATTTATATGTTTAGCTTTTGAGGTCAATTCAAAAATATATTTTCAGAGCGTTTTCTTTTGAATTTGAATCTGATTCAAATGTCATATAATGTTTTTTTTTTTTTTTTTTTTTTTAAATGCAGCCTTGATGAGAATAAGAGACTTCTTGCAAAACCATTTAAAGGGATTGTTCACCCAAAAATGAAAATTAAGTCATTAATTACTCACCCTCATGCTGTTCCAACCCCGTAAGACCTTCGTTCATCTTTGGAACACAAATTAAGATATTTTTGATTAAATCTGTAAATCTGCCATAGGCTTCATAAGGGAGTGAAACTTGAGAGTTCAAGAGATTTCCAGGACGCATGCGCGAGAACTGATGTTCTTCTTCTACTACTATGCAGCGCGCGTCTTACAAGCAGAGGAAGACGCACGCTGTACATAGTAGTAGAAGAAGAACGTCAGTTCTCGCGCATGCGTCCTGGAAATCTCTTGAACTCTCGTCTCAGGCCCACAAGGAAGCAATGGAATAGTCGAATAAAGTTGTTATTTTTGTTTTTTTTCTGCACAAAAAGTATTCTCGTCGCTTGATACACTTATAGTGGAGCCACTGTAGGCACATGAAATATTTAAACATTTTCTTTAATGACTTTCTGGGCCGTCAAGTTTCACTCCCTTAGGAAGCCTATGGGGGAGTGATCCACCTCTCAGATTTAATAAAAAATATCTTAATTTGTGTTCCGAAGATGAACGAAGGTCTTACGAGGTTCGTACAGCATGAGGGTGAGTAATTAATGACTTAATTTTCATTTTGGGTGAACTATCCCTTTAAAAATCTTACCTACCCCAAACATTTGTATATTCTTGTATAACTCTAGTTTAACTCTTGCTTGTGTGGGAAATGTTTCCTTGAAAATTGAAGACCGAAAACAACAATTGAGACAAACAAAATAACACCAACTAAACTAACTTTTGCATTATACCTTACGTATTACGTGGTTTGTTTCTGCACAGCTGACTTTAATGTCCTGTCTGTCTATTTCCAGAAACTAGCTGCACGTCTACCGAAGATCCGGGCGGCTCGGGATGCACCTCACGGCTGCCTCTGTCCACCAGGTATGCCTGTTAACCCGATTCATCCCCAACACACCCTCCCTGATCGCAACACACCTGGGACACTGTGCTCCGCCTGTTACTTCTGAAATGCATTTGAATGTGTGTTGCGGTTAAGCCTTTTGAGCTCCCCTTTTGCAAAAAAACCTTTTGCCTGCAGGTATGAAGAGATTTTGTTGCCCCGGCGTTAGATAGAGACGTGATCCACGTCGAATAGGTCTCATTTCCCAAATGAGTGAAAAGAGTCTCCTCTCCCCAACCCTTTGCTGTCCACTTGTGCCCTCGGACTGGCATTGCTATGGTGACAGGTGCAGTCATATTTTCGTGTGCTGTTGGCAGTCATTGGCTTCACTTAGTGTTTGAGTGGTTCGTGATGCAAGCCACAGTGTTGGGATGGCGTCATGTGGGCGTTCTTGAGCGCAGGGAACAGTCAGCAAGGTTCACAGCGTACCACTAACAAGTCACATCCATGTGTTTGACAGGACTAGCCTTGTTCAATATTCATAAAATTAGATGAGATATTTTTTGTTTAAATTTAGAGACAAAAGAACAGCATTTTTTTTTTTTAAATGATAAATCTTTTATGACAATATAAATGTTTTTTACTGTCACCTTTGGTCAATTAAATGCATCCTTGCTGAATAAAAGTATTATTATTATGAAAATCTTACTTACCTCATCATGTGACATTCAAGACTGGAGTAATGGCTGCTGAAAAATCAGTTTTGCCATCACATTACATTTTAAATATATTAAGAAAACAGTTTCTGTTACTTTAACAGTATTACTGTTTTGTATCAAATAAAAGCAACAACTTAAAATATCTCAATTATTCTTTTAAAATGTATATGAGCACAAATTAAAATGGCCTACTTGTCTGTCACACTGTTTTGTGTGTGTGTGTGTGTGTGTGTGAGAATTTACACATCTCTGAGAACCAGGCCAGATGGTACAGACATCTCAGTGTTAATGAGGCTAGTCAGTACTAGTCAGTGTTGTGTTAACTGAGTGGGAAGTGACTTCAGACAGCGTAGTGAAACCAGTTTAAGATGGACATGTCGTGGACAGGCACTCTTGAGCCAGGTGTGGGGACCGTTTAACAGCAGGCATCCCAGATGATGGTCGTGTTTGTTGTTGTTTGGTCTTTACTGCTGTGCCGTGGGAGAGTGTCTGATCTCACAATACAGACTGCGCTTTTACTTAATTTCAACCATTTGATGAAAACCAGGCAAAAGATCAGCATCATTTTTTTGTTGTTTAGCTGAAAGCTAAAGTGACTGTAGATATAGTGCAATGATAGCACAGTTTGTACATTGTGCATGTTTTTTTATAATGCATGTGTATAAATAATATGTGTATGTAAAGAAGTGTCCACATATATGTGGTTCTCCATGTCGCCAGCTGCCGCTTGTCAATCATTCCAGCACGCAGTGTTCAGATGGCTTCCATTCCATTGTTTATTTTGAGTGCTCAGCAGTGGGCAATAGTCTGTGACTCCTTCATCAAGCGCACAGACTCGTATGTATGTATGTGTATAGCATTGATGTCATGTTTGAGCTGGAGAAGAGGCATAATAACTTTTCTATTGGCAAAGGTATAATTGTTTCAATTGTTTGCATAGTTAGCGCCACCTCTTCCAAGTTCATAAAGAATGCTATGTGTTTGTCATGCGCAGTTCAGCTCAAGGACAGTGTATTATTATTTTTGGCTCGGCGTGTTTAAGTGAAGATGATGTGTGGTGTGACTATCTGTAAGACTACCGCTGGTGGTTTTATTAATTCTCTCTCTTCTCTGAACTGTGATTAGTCTGAGCCTGTACCTTTTGCAGCACTTCTACAATCTCAAAACACCTCGCATATGGGTTTGGGGAATGTTTCAACACATCCAAATGAGTTTATTTTTTCTGGTTTTGCAAATCCCAGGGGGCTGCAGAGGTTAAATTCACTCAGCTCGTGTTTAAAAACCCATTTGGCCCATTCACATTCACTCGGAAATCCTCCAATATTTGTTTTTATTAACAAAGTCAGAGTCAGTTCATACACACAACTGTTTACCCTCCAGCTCTGCACATTTCAGCACTGAAGCGGTAACAGTGCCCACGTTTCTTACTGTGAAGAGAAGTATTTACCTTCTCAGTGTCATCTACATTGCAGGGAGGAACTAGCCTGTGTGGATTATAGTTGCATAATATTGGAAAAAATGGAAATTGTTATATTTATTTTTTCTGTGAAATACAAAGTTAGGTCATGAAACTTTAGATGGCGCAGGCAGGACTAAATCTGCTTGCAATCACATCATTCTCCATAGGGCACAGCTGATTGGTTCCTGCTTTATCAGTAGCCAATGAGCTTGCTTCTCAACCTTCAAAGACTTGGCCAGCATTTGCTGTAGCAGTTGCAGCGTGCTTTCAGAAACGCTCCACCTTCCCCAGCTCCACCTGTATAGATCTGCTACAGGTAATTCATGTATATTGTACAGCAGCAGCATGTCTTACTTGCTCACAGCAGAATGTTGTGTATTTATTGGCAGTAGCAAGTCCCGTACTTGCTCTGTAGCAGCAGCAGCGTAGCAGATCTATTCCGCCAAGACCAAACATATCTATATTGTCATATCCATCACCATGCCAAACACTCAGAGAATTGTCATGACAGGAATATTTTGCAATATGAAACATACAGGACTTTTCACCAGATGATTTGAATAGCTATATATTTGGAAAGATTTAATAATTCTAGGATGGTTGGAGTGATTTTGAAGTGAATATGCATGCATAGAAGAAAAAAAGATTAAAAAATAAAAATAAAACAGTTTAACTTCATCCATCTTTTAATTTGGGAAAAACTTGTGCCTTCACACCTGGGTCTAGAATCAACTCAAGTTTTTAAAAGAATATTTCCACTTAGGTCACATTTACACAGTTTTTAACCTGTTTAATATAAAATCATTTGGCAGTCATCATGGCAGTTTCAGAGTATAATAAATCAGTCAAGTGCGGCACAGTTCATTTACACACTTGCCGCTTGTGATGCAGTGTTTCAGCAGCTACGTTCAAAGTAAATGTGCCAAGTTGCTCTGAAACTCTGAAACAAACACAGGATCATGAGCTGCACTCATGCAAAATGAACAGTGTCACCCGCCACGCATATAGTTATTTAAGCAAATCACAGCTTTTGCGATTTGAAAATTCGTATCGCAATATCGATTTTATTTCTAATCTATACATTGTGCAGCCCTTGTTGTTAGAAAATTTGGCAGTTTTAACTATGTACTTCACCTAAGCATGCCATCATTGCTTTATGAATGAATGTTCTAATGTTATATTTTTCAATAATTTTAAAGCTTGATATTTTTAACTTTTATGAGAATCATAGACAGATGCCAACATGGCAGATTATGTGACATCCTCATTCTTAAAAACATGAAAAAATCCATGCAAGGTAAAAGCAAATATGATCCAGATCACATTCAATACGGGTTCACTTGAAGTGAGGATAAACATGATTTTTGCTGACCACAACATGCTGTGTGTGGTGATTTATTAGCTGCCAAGAGCATGCAACCATTAAAAGAGACATTTAGAAACCAAACACTCAAACAAACCAGTCGAAATTACCATAATACTTTAATAAATATTTAAATACATTTCTATGTTTGATTTTGTTTACTTTTGTACAATAAACAGTTTTTTGGGGGTTTTTTTTTTTGGTTTAGTCGCCGCATTGTTTAACCAGTTAAGAACTGCTGGTTTATAAGTGTTTTAGGTCAGTTTTCGTTGTGCGTGTTGCTTAGCTGTGCCCCTTTGAACAGATGTGTATATATAAACATCATTATTAAAAAATGACATCTGCGGCAGATGTCTGGATGTGTGACAGTTCTGTTAACAGTGACTGATGCATTGTCGCTATTTAGTCATCGGAGAAAACAAGAACGTAGTATGTATACATAAAGACAATGATTTATGGCTCTAAAAAATGTTTTTGGAATGGTGTGTTTATCCGCCCTGGTATGGAAGAGTCACAATCACGTGAAAACCAAATGCACGCCGCTCAAGGTGTGAATGAACTGTGTAGACAATTGTGGCATGCTGATGGATATGATGCTCTTTGTTCTAGCAGAGATTTGTAAAAATGATGCCAGAGGCGCTTACTGCCAACAGCTTTGTCAGAGTACAGGAAAACTCCCATGACAGTTAGATTGAATCCAGGCCCAAGCGTCCAGAACGCTCTTGAATCCACACATTGTTTCCCGAGAAGCTGAAATGGCACTTTCCTGGATGTAGTAGTAGGAAACCGAGAAAAAGAAAGAGTATGCCGCCCTCTTGGCTTCTATGCATCACACACCCACTGAATGCTCTTATTTCTGAAAAACCAAAGACCCGATTCCCCAAAGGATTTAGTGTCTTTGTGACTGGATTCCGATCCGCAGGCCAGCGTTGGTGGCATTAGTTGTGTCACCAGGGGTCGTAAGGGATTGAGTAAGAGTGCTATCTTTAAATGTGTGCATCACGGACACTGGTTTGACTGCTTGTCTGTTGGTCGTCAGTTGGATTGTTGTGGCTGCCATGAAGAGCGGGATGAGGGGTTTCATTGCATGCTGATCTGAGGGGATTAATCACGAGTACAACAGGAAGGTTGAGAGGCTTCTAAAGCCTCGAGCTTCACTGCAGGAAGTGACATTTGACAGTTTACCTGGATGCAGACCGAAGAGAAGCCATATCTAGTGTGTGTAATCGGAGCTTGACTCCGGGAACTTTATGTATGACATATTTGCCATATTTAACATCCTCATCATCCCTAAAAGTACAACACAGCCTAGAGGAAATGTGTATTGCTCATAGGTTAATTGAGTTCTCGGTTACACTTCAATTATGTTTTCCTGAATATGACTCAATAGAAATAAAAATACACATATTAGGCAACTGTCGACAAACAGCAAGAGTAAATTCAATAGTAGCATAGCATTGGTGAGAAATATTCGAGACTTTTGATTGCAGACTTTGGTGTCTTGACAT